GGGGTGTGGGGGGGGGAACACCCCCCCCCCCCACTCGTCAGCTAATCGGCAAATTGTTATCTCAGTCGGCAAAACTGGATTGGCTAAAGATAACCACTGAAGAAACCAAAATTGACCTCCTGAATAATTGAATTCAAACCGAATATCACGAATAGCATGCATCAAAGAAGCCACACATGCAGCAATGCAAATTTTATTACGGTGTAAGGTTTAAAAACTGACGGGTATTGTGTTTTGTGTATATACGTTAGATGTTTGAAGATCAAATTTCGCCCGTCTGGAGTTAAAATTTGGCTCCAACTTTCGAATTTTCCGGCTGGAGGTAACGTTCCAGTTATATTCCGATTTCAATGATTCGTAAATTAAATGCGTGATTCATAGTGCTCCAAGACGTGGAACAGATTTTAAGAAATGCCGAGATTTTGACTTTTCGAGGGCTGCAAAATGGATGCCGACAGGAATTTTGGGTTTTCTGATTATGCGTGTCTCAGAATGATGCAAATGCCATTTCCGGGATTCAAATTTAAAAATTTTCCGTGCCTTCGGCACGAGCCTCCTCCCCCCAATATTTCATAAAATGTCCGCCACTTGCACACACGGTGGCTTAAAAGGTCTTAAAACTGTTTATTCTACCGATAAATAAAGGGGTTTTTATTGACTGGGATTTCAATAACTCGGACTGGGATTTCTAATAAAAATCCAACTGGGACTGGGATTTTGCCAAAATTTCAGGTGGAAAATGGGATTGGGACCCTCCCCCCCCCTTCAGGACCCTCACTATAGGCTAATGACTCGGCAAAATTACCAAACAACAGTCGGCAAAAGATCACTCACACCCCCCCACTCGAAGAGAGTTAGCGCCGCCCCTGCTTTTTCGCGCCGCTATGGAAAGCTATCCAGTATAGTCTATGGTATAGTGTTCACGCACAGCCATAATAGGAAATGGATGTTTAATATTCTAGCTTTCGACTAAGAGATGGATGTTTAATTTCTCGCGGTTTAAAAGCCACCCGAATATTGTACAACAATTATACAGTTGTTAAAATTTCATATCTAATATACTGAAAACGTCTGTATTGTGGTCGGAATCAAATATTCAATGCCATTTCAGACATTTCATGTTTTATCTAGTGCATAACTCAAAAGACATTAAATATTAACTTTAACCTAAATAGTACTTGCAAAGCGGTGTAAATATTTTTTAAATAGCATTAATAATTCATGAGAAAAAGACGACGGAAATCCATTCAGTATCGTGTCATCGTATATGTGATAAATAATCATGTCAATTTACCGATAAACTTTAGCTTTGATTTTCTCGGCTTAGACAACGATTAGAAATTTAGAAATTAAAACATTTTTCCGGAAATAACATATGCCCCTGTACTGGATCTCTATAGGGAGAACAGTTTAGAATCAAAGCGCTAAGAACTTACCGATAAAAAATTTAATATAATTTGATTTTCTTAATTTAGGCATTCCATCATGACCATCTACAAAGAGAGAATGGAAATGTCTTATGTTTCTGCTCTGAAGGTTTTCGTGTTCGTTGGATTAGCTACAGTGGCTTATACATGTAAGAATGTTGAAATATTTTAAAACAACTGGTGGTACATTTCCTTAGTAATTATATTGCGTTTGCAATGACCCAATGGTCCAAAACTTACTAAGGGTGGAGCATTTTTTATGGGAGGGGGACGGGGGCGTTCGAGTGAATTTATTTATTTATCTGCATGTGTTCTTGAACGATATTTTTTTTAACAAATATCAAAAGCCACAACCTTTTATAACATACTTCGTGATTTCAGCTGATCCACAATCCTTGACAATGGCTTATACACAAATTGGCAATACTATACCGGGTATCCCCCAAAAAACGGATACTGTTTGATTTCATGCAACGTAAATAAAAGCTATAAGAGCTATCGCAATGGAATGAAAATCATTGTATTCAGAAAGGACTAACTTAAATTTTGATATATAGCACTTGTATTTACATGCAATATTGACCACGCTATTGATGTTTGAACATTGAACTACTATTTTTGAAAATGCCAAAAATTAGCATAAAACATCCTTTTAATTACCGATGTGGTTATACTTGTTAAATAATAAATATTTTTTATCTTGTTTGGATCTCGCTCAATATTGTATGTAAATTCAAGTGCTATATATCAAAACACTCCCCTTGACGAGTAAACAATCGTCTGGCGTCAGACAGAGTAAAATAAGAACGTAGGGAGCATCACTTACATGGTGATGCATGATGCATGGTCAGAGTTTGGCGTTCAACTCAATCAGGAGCAGCACTCTCCCCTTGACGAGCAAAATATTATTTATGGCGGAGGGGCATGGCACCGAAGAGAAAAGGGTTGGGTAAACAAAATTTTGAGTGAGTAAAAGGTTGGGTAAATGAAAAACAAAGCAACTCAAGGGTTGGGTAATAAAAATTTATTCTCATTTCGAAAGCATGACTCACTCAAATATTGAAGACTAAAAAGCAATGTCGACAGTCATACGTCAATGTAATAAATAAATAAATCAATTTATTTGAATTGTGTCTCTTACATGCATGTGCATGACAACATGAAAATTTAGACTACAGAAAATTGCACAAGCAGGTATCAAACGCATGTCATAAAAGTGATAAAGGACACGAGTGTGTATCTTTTTGCAAAGTTGTAAAGAGACTACTAAAAAGCAATGTCGACAGTCATGCGTCAATACAATATATAAATCAATCAGAGTCACTATCTTGATCATTTTCCGATTTTTCAGGAGGCAAATGGTGTCTAAAAAGAAAGTACATGTGCAGACAACATGAAACTTTAGACTGCAGAAAATTGCACAAGCAGTTATCAAACGCATGTCACAAAAGTGATAAAGGACACGAGTGTGTATCTTTTTGCAAAGTTGTAAAGAGACTATACTAAAACGCAATGTCGACAGTCATACGTCAATACAATATATAAATCAATCAGAGTCACTATCTTGATCATTTTCCGATTTTTCAGGAGGCAAATGGTGTCTAAAAAGAAAGTACATGTGCAGACAACATGAAACTTTAGACTGCAGAAAATTGCCCAAGCAGTTATCAAACTCATGTCACAGAAGTGGCAAAGGACTTCTGTGACAACTGAATGGTATTCTTTTGTAACGTCTTTGGCCAGGGGTTCATGGCATTTCTTGATATTCGAAGTTGGCTAAAAAAGATTTTCACTTTTTAATGGTTCGAACGGCAAAATTTTAACCAAGGTTTACATTGCACTTCGGTGCCACCCCCCCCCGCCATAAATATTAGGGACCTTTAGCAAATAGGTGACGCCAACGCGACGACGACGGCCAAAACAAACTCGTTCAATTAAGTATATTAAATTTTAAGAACAACATGTCTTGTATTATCCGTTGTATGAATTTATTGCAGCTTAAGAAGGTTAAGACAGAGGTTTATAGTAGAGAAGACTTCTACTAAGCCAATTTGCCGAGGACGACTTCTCGCGGCTTGAAATTAAGGCAGACGTTGCATACAAAACGTGAAAATCTTTGATTTGCTGTTGTAAACAGAGCAAGGACGACGTCTAAAACTCACAAGGGACTTTAATTATGCATTTTCTTTCTACACTGTCATAAATTTTATTGTATTAATAGTCGTCGCCGTACTGCTAGCTAAAGGTCCCTATATGACCGGTCCCAAAAGTCGGAAGTTGACCCATATTACAATTGAAATTTCAGCGTCTGCAGAGATACGCTACCCTGGAGACGTGGTCGAGTTTTCACCACCCGACAATTCAACAGATCCAGATCTGATGGGGACCGAGGGTTTCGTGTTGAGAGTAGTAAACGCAAGTCATCACGACCCTCCCGTCCTTGTCGCGTGGAAACACAACAACTATTCCGTCGTCTCGTGGAAAGATCCTCAAAATTTAACATTAAAGAGTACATCTGGTGTGGCTGGACTAGAATGTAAGTTACAGGACGTCATTGCCAGTAATAGACGGCCGGCCAAGTCATCAATTTGTACAACTGGATGGCAACTTTATGTTAGAAGTTGGTAACAGGCATTTTCTTATATTGTAAGCCTTGGTGAACAAGACTATATGTGTTACCACTTCTGATTTTTGCTTTATAGCCAAAAATTTGAGAATTTTTAAAATTTTGCCTATTAAATTACTATGATCGGAAAAAATGTAAAATTTCATGTTCTCTTATACGAAAAATAAACTATACCACTAGAAAGAGCGCAAAAAACTATATATAAGACAATTAAATGAGTTCTACGTTTTTCCAATCCTATTTCGAGTTTTTAATGTTAAAAAATGCAGAAATGACCAAATTAATGCTAATTAGTACCCATTTTGCCAACTTTAACCATCTTTAATTCAAAATCGACTTGAAAATCGCACTAGTCGCTTAATTATCTTATATATAGTTTTTTGCGCTCTTTCCAGTGGTATAGTTTATTTTTTGTATAAGAGAACATGAAATTTTACATTTTTTGCCATCATAGTAATTTAATAGGCAAAATTTTAAAACTCTCAATTTTTTGGCTATAAAGCAAAAATCAGAAGTGGTATAACACACACAGTCTTATTCACCAAGGCTTGAACTATAAGAAAGTGCCTGTTACCAGCTTCTAACATAAAGTTGCCATCAAACTCTCTTTAGAGGCACTTTTTGCCACCTTGGCCGGCCGGCTATAAAAATTTAGTCTGTCTCATTTGAAAGAAATTTTCAGTAAAATAATTAATAGACTTTTTACATCTTTTTCATATCTTGCATGCTTCTTGCACGGTTTATTTTAAGAAAAATTTAGAACTGCACATATATAGATGTTACGAGCATCGGGTGTTTGACTGGGGTCAAAGGATTTTTTACCTGGATTAGATATTTAAAGTTAAGAGTTGTAAATTATGATAGATTCTTAATTTGCGTATAAGTGGCAGAATAAAGGTGTGGTTGGAAGAAAGGCCAGACAAACTCGACTTTGCGTGGGGAGCTAGGAGGTGTTCCCCTCAAAATTTGAATCTAGGGGTTCTTAAGTTCTGGCAAAGATTTGTTTTACCCAATCACCAACAAAAACTGTTTCAAAACATGTAAATAGGAATCATGAATATTCATTGTATAATAACCTTAAATTTGCATTAACCTGAACTGAACGTTAAAATAAACCCTGGGTTCTTGAAATATTTTGGCTGAAATTAAACAGTCAGCTGTCCGCCATTTTGGATTATTCAGGATATGCATATTAGGTCACAACCCAGCGGGCAAAATGACGTTTATCCAACGTTGAATCAACGTTGGAAATGACCTTCCAGACGTTGGATAGACGTTGAAAAAGGGTTGACTATGCAAATTGGATCGACGTTACTGTTTCGACCTTGAAACAACGTTGAAATTAGGTTGCCAATCTCGTCAACCATAATTCAACGTTGAATCCACGTTAAAACAACGTTGAGATTGGTTCACAAATCGACGTCGTACATTTAACCATGAATGAACGTTAATTCAACGTCTGTTGGCTGCTGTTGAACCAATATGTTTGTAAAACAACGTCAGAGCAACGTAGATATTAGGTTGTCGACGTCGCAACCTTTTTTCTACCAAATTTCAACGTTGAAACAACGTCGTGTGCCCGGTGGGAAGTGGGTCACGTAAACGTTTTATCTTGCATGACAGCCAGCGATCAATATGAGCGATAACTTGTACTTGCATGTTTGCTACTTAACATTCACTCTCGTTCCCAGAGCCACTTTCACTCGGTCACTCGTTGAAAACTAGGCTCTGGGTTAGACGGCTAAAGGGAGTGATCCGATGGCTTCTTAGAGAACTGCTATTTCCCCGAAGTTGAGCAGTTTTCCCTAGGCAACATTATTCTATCAAAATATGTCAACACAAACAATTCGTTTCTTCGTAATACTTCTCGGTGAAAATTGTCACGGGTGCTAAAGCGGCCAAATTCAAGAGTATGCGCTTTAGAAACTACTTTTACTTTCTTACACGAGCCGTTTATACCAATTTTCGGGTGACGTCCATGCAAGACTATCCCCACACTTGACATCATTAAAACCATAGTTGATGAAGTTAAGAATTAATCCAAGATGGCGGAAATCTCATTGCCTTCAGTCAAAATATATACAGCTAAACTCTAAACCTTTACCTCTAAGCGTGCAAAGCATAATGGGAGTATCATTTGATCAGTTTAGAAACCATCTATGGGGCCCATTTCTTGGTGACATGGTTAATATCTCCTTACGATTCACAAATAGTTGCAATATTCAACTACTATAAAGCTTGAAACTTATGCTTCATTAAGCTTTGGGCGCTTAGAGTTTAAGGTTGAAGGTCTAGAGTTTAACGTTAGCAAAGGACAACCTTTTTTGAATTAGCTGTATTGGAAGAACAAAATTATTTCCTCGGGAGGAGATATTATAGGTGTATATTGTAGGTCTTTTTTACGGTCGATAAGGGACTGGTCATAAAGTAACTGCTAGGGTGGGCTGGAGGTAAATCACAAATTTTGCCAATAAGTTCGGTGACCCATCTTAGGATGTACATAAAAATTTCAAAGCCCATCTAATCTTACAAAAAAATTTTCATGACCCACCCAATCTAAATTGGGAAAATACACTTTTATAATAAAAAAAAACTTGCAGGTATGAACATTGTAAATATACACCGGCACTGTAATGACGAACATAATTCCACCAAGCTTGACCAACACATTCATCACCAATTACGATACTGAGCTGCTCTCCAGTTGGTTGTATTTGCTGTGATTCGACCACTTCGTGTTGTTGTTTAAACAGAGTACTGGCTTCAATAGTATCATTTGCATTTGATAGTTTTGATAGTTTTGTTTACTTTTATTATTAATATCTTTATTTTTTGAAGTGGACATGCATGGGTTTTTGTTTGGTGGCCCAACCGTAGACATACAAAAAAATTGGCGGCCCATCGAAACTGCCCAAAGATTTTCCATGGCCCATCCCAAATCACTCCAGCCCACACTAGCAGTTACTTTATGACCGGTCCCTAATACAATTACGAGTTATTATGGAAAGCCCGACTGTCAAACTGACCATAAAAAAGAACGAAGCGCTATAAAAACTAATTTATGTGAAAGCGAGAAGGAAAATGGGATGACAGAAACTGTTCGCCATCTTGTTGCCCTTGACAAAGTTGTTACTCTTCGATCTTGTTTTTATAGTAATCGCAAATGATTGCAAACAATCTCATGAAACAACTGCTAACTATATTGGCTTCCTACACGACAGAATCGGAATTGGCGTGCTATTTCGTTCCCTTCTATCAAACGAAGTGTTTTGGATAGGAGATGTGTGCATCTATCTTGGCACAGATGGTTTGACAGACCCTTTTAAAAGATTGTGGTGTTTTCGCACCAAGAAATACGTCTATGTCGACAGTTTTGCAAATTTCCAGCTTTTCGGGGTAACAAATTATCCAGGTAAGATCGAGGTTCACCAATATAGGGTTACAGTGATAAAACAATTTAAAGTTCGACTAACCACTAATATGATTTTTGGTATGTGTAATATTTGGGTCATTCAAAGAAGAAATGTAATGTATCTTTATAGTAAAAAATCCCACCTTGATCAACTTTTTCACTGTCAAAGGTTCCGGATATGATGTCATTAGGTGAATTGCAAATTAGTTTTCCTTTGTTTTTGTACCAAAAATTCACCAAATGACATCATATCTGGAACTTTGACAGTGAAAAAGTGGATCAAGTTGAGGTTTTCACGATAAGCAGCTTTTTTGTGAGTTGGATATCGACAAAAGTAACGGCTCTCTTGAGGCCAGAATGTAACTAGTTCCCGTTACCTTTTATCAATTTTTGTAACTAGTTAACAACAAGTTACCTTCCCAAAAAAGTAACTTGTTACCATGTGTGAAAATCTCTTTCTGGTTAAATTAATCAATTGTTTTGTCCAATTCGCTTCGCGTTGGCAATTCACTTCGCATTATAAAATTTCGTAATCGGTAAGTAGTTGCAAAATTTTTGCAACTTGTATAAATTTGTAACTATAGTTGGATATAATTTGACAAAAAATTTGTTTGTTTGTTCATAAGGTGTTTACGAGTATTCGAAAAACAATCAGCTTACAGGTTAGTATATTAAAGGAACGATGAAGCCCTTGTGTCGGTTGTATAAAACACTACATTTTAACCACCATTTTTTTAGTTAACTAGTATCGTTCAGTCTAAATATACGCGAACTGGTTAACTTTCGCACTAACTGTAGTTAACTCATTGATTATGAATATTACTGGTACGGTACCTCCACCCGGAAATTTGAAACAAATTTGAAGGCCATGAGTCCCAGTGTTGACAATAGCGGAATATAGCCAATATTAAATATTCTGAATTTTTAAATGTTTTGAGAATCTAAAAATATTCCAGAATGTTTTCTCAGAATGCTGGAAATGCCATTTCAGAGACCCAAATTTAAAAAATTTTCCGGGGGAGTATACCCCGGACCACCCTCGTTTCCCCCGTTTTCGGGGGGGGGGAGTATGCCACGGACCGCGCTCGTTTCGCCATTGGTTAGGACCCCCCCCCCAAAAAAAAACACAAAAAAACACACACACACACACAACAGCTTAGCTGGATCCACCATTGGCCCATAATTGGATTTGAAATACCAGATCTCCAATCATTAATAATTCATGAGTAACATTGCTTTATTTTGCTCACATGATAATAGTTGATATCTGATGAAGTACATTGATCCAGTTCTAGGAGTGGATTAGTTCAAAATTAGTTCAGTCCTTACTTAGACTGGATCAAACTTAATTCACCACACCTTAAGTAGTGATTTATTCGTATGAGATGTCATTTCAAATCCGACTACAGGGTGTATCAAAAAAAGCGCAATCCTCGACTGAAATGTAAATTGCTAAACAAATAATAGACGAAAACGTTAAAGTTTACATTCATTTTAAATCGTAGCCATTCAGCTTTCTAACAGTGGGTTGTTTCTTAAATTTGACTCATTGGTTCGCGGGTAATAATACTTTACGTTATTGCGATTGGAGATTAAAAAAATTGAGATGGAATAACAAATCGTTCTCATGAAAATAACTGATTTTTTCATTAAAACAAAAAAATGTTGCATTTTATTAAATGGATTGTAACAATAAGTATAATTACGGCTTTTCTTCCACTATTTTTAACTCAGTTTGAAACTTCAAATGCGATATAATTTTGGCTTGGACCATCTAAGCTGACTGACATCAACTTGATATAATTTCTGTTTACATTACATCGCAATTCGATGACACTCTGGCTCAGACACCAGAATGTTTTGACGATTTTTAGCATTCGTTTAGGATTTTCAAACAACCTGGTCTCTTTTAAAATACTTTTAATTTGTTCTTACGTGGTTTTCAGATGTAGTGACGACAACATTAAAGTTTAAAGAAGAAAATTCTAACATTTAAACCGACTAAACAATAACATAGTAAACTTGCATAATTAAACAGCAACTAAAAATGATAGGTTTTACTAAATCTTTTCCTGTGCAATTATTGCTAGCATTGGAGACAAGGATAATAGTTTGTTTGAAAGAGAAAAGAACAGGCTTTGAAGTAAGCCTAAAAGCGTTTAACTAGAAATAGTATTTCGAAAGTTATTAAGCACAAAAGATGAATTGCGTTTATTTTGATACACCCTGTATATGAGGACTGGACTAGAGTCCAGTCCTTGGGTTCGCCTCGGACTTGATCAAATTGCGCGAACTTGAAATCAAGTCCAGACCTCATAGTTGGATTTGAAGTACCACTTGAAGCCATTGAATTCGACACGTGCAAAATGCGACGATTAAAAACAGACCTTACATTTTCCTAGGTTTCTATCGCTATCCTGTGGTAAGCAAATACAGCGCTCATATTGAATACAAGCAATTAATAATGGGGCAGGAAAACACAGCAGTATTGACCATAGATTGCAATAATGACGCCGAAATTACGGTGATTGTTTATACTAGTTTAATGCATTACAATAATTACACACTATTAACTGATACCCCTATATCAGTGCCGAACGAGATCGAATTGACAACAAAGTGGATTGCAAAATATCCTGGCCCGAACTACTTGGAATTTATGATTAAGGAGGGTGCAAATACCTACGTTACAACAGGGGGATGGTATCATGTATTGGCAGCAGTGAAACATAAAATTCAGGTAAGGGAAAGCAATTGATTGATATAGATACGGTAGATCGTTTATTAAATCAATTTTTTCGTTGTTAAAAAAACTGAATTACAATAGAGTTTACATCAAATATGGTTAATAATTTATATGTTAAGCTTAAGACCTGTAGACCATACTAATACTATTTACAATTTGGATTGGATTTAAAAATATAAGAGTTTTTTAACCTGTTCGTATTTATAATTGGAAGTTATACCTTCCAACTCTCTAAAATTATGAGTTGGTGGATTTTCTTCATGTAGTATAGATGGTAAAGTTTATGTTCTCTGCATGTTATCTTCGATGGAAGTAAAACGCTTTTGCCATAATTTCTCTCTTCTGTCGCTATTGCATCTTCCGAACATATTTCAGGATATGTAATTTTTAAGCCTCGTCTTTGAGCTCGTTGTATATCCACTGATAAGTATATACTGTCTGGAAGGTTCTCTGGAACGTGCAATTTCGGTATGGTACGACGGGAACATTTTTCTTCTCCCCCCCCCCCCATGGGGGGACCCATGCTGGCTCGCCCCATATAAACACCACCATTGGTAATCTATCAAACTTCACTCACTGGTAAATGTGATGAAACACTGGAGAAAAACGTGAACTGATATCTTAACAGATTTATGACCAGTGTAAGTTGAGCTTGCAACCAATGTAAGTTGAGCTTGCAACCATAAATTAGCGGACATATTCACACTCATTTACATATCAAACAAATTGAAATATCTCGGGAACAAACCACAAAAACAAGAAACTGAAAAATAAGTTACACTACAGCATACTGAGAGTTCTTTCATTTAGGAAAATAAGAAATTTCATGTCATATACACTTTAAGAAATTGGGTGTGGTCATTGGAAAAAAGTGGGCGTGGTTCAAACTTAACTCTCCAATATCTTAACTCTCCGATATAACTCTCTAATTAGTCTCTTCTGTCTTTTACGAACTTTTTTGTTTCCCTTTTATTTCCCAGATTCAAGCATCAGGCAGCGATGCACGTTTTATTGTAGCGAACGAACCAATTACTATCACACAAACAATGGTAAACTCGGGGTTAGTCGTATTTTTCAACGGCTCGCACAACAACGAATCCCAATATGGCATCGCACAAAGTCCTGTTCACGTGACCAACCTAGCATACGAACAACGTGGCTTATATCAAGTATTTTCAATGGCGTGGAATGCAATAGGTGCGGAATTCACGGAGTTATCATTTGCGGTAGTGCGAATATTTGAAATCAAAAACTTAACAATCACCACAGATTCGTATGCCCTGAAGACAAAGGTAGCCAACTTAAAATTTTACATACGCGCATTGAAAGGTTCCGTTTCGTTATGTAATGTTACATACGGAGATGGTGAGTACTCTGAACATGAAACAACGTTGACAAACTTTTATGATACAATTGAAAATAGCACCGATATTGACACTGCCATCAATACTGACCCGGGGATACAACACGAAGTCAGCAAACCCTCAGAATATTCACATCCTGGTTTCTACAGTGTTCGGGTCGTTTGTGAAAACGAGATCAATTCTGTGAATTATTCGACCACCATTCTAGCGCAAGATCAAATTACTGGTTTCTATGTGTTTCCCATTTCAGCCCACGAGTTTGGCAAGACCATCAATGTGGTCTGGCAGATGTATCTAGGCACAAACGTTACAGTTGATATATGGTACAACGATCTATTGTGTAATACAACAAATATTACCATAACTAATAATCAGAATAATTCGCGAGATTGCTTAGTGACCAATTCTATGCATTTCGACCCCGACTATTTGGTCGACATCAAGCTAACAGCTCAGAATCTCGTCTCGAACATAACTGAAATTGTTACTGTACAAATGTTCCGACCGATGGTGATCACCGGTTTCGTCGCCTTGACAACCACGGCGCAGTGGGGCTCCGGCGAAGCAGGCGCGGGTCCAAACGGGAACAAATTCCCCGCGGAATACCCGGTGCTGTTTAGGGCGATCTACACAGGCGGACCACCAACCCTGCATGACTGGACATTCCAATTTCACAGCTGGATTGGAGATTGCACGAATTGTGGCACGCGAACCGATAATAGTGTGGAACGCGAGTATCTATTCGGGCGTGATGATAACTTGTGTGACGTGAAATTAAAACTATCAAATCCTGCTGGAACGGCAGAGGAATGGCTCGCTGTAGACATTGATAAAAGCTTTAATCTTACCAGCGTGACCATAGATAGCCCCGTCGTCGTGAACAGAACTGAAAAATTAACCATAAAACTGGCAGACATCGGCAAAACTACTTGTATATCGGTTAATTTTGGTGACAATTCACCGCTACTGTTGTACGGCAACTACGACGCTTGTCATGAGCAGTACAATCACACTTCACGGTCCGATGTGGTATTTAGTCCGAGAACGCTCAATACTACAAGTATAGACGTTGACTACATGTTTAAAACTGTGGGAACATATCAGGTAAAAGTCGATGGAAGGAATTACGTTTCATGGGATAGTTTTCAACAAGAAGTTGTCGTGGCGGAAAAGGAATGTGAATATCCAAATGTCACAATTACAGGTAATGTGTACACTGTTTTTGAAAGTTCTGCGCCAGTGAAGGAAGTACCAATAGGAATAAAACTTCGGATTGATAAAGATGCAACTATCTGAAAAATCCGTCTAAGGACGAAGGACCTTTGCTCGAAACGCCCAATTTCTTCTTGTATTTTTCTGGTAGTTTCACAAGAATTGTATAGAATCCTGCACTTTCGGCATTCTAAGGGAAGCCTCACATATCGATTTTGTCCATGAGAAACTTCATATGGACGTTTCTCTGGAGATGAACAGCAGTGACCCAGTCAATACAGTAAGACCCCGCGTATATATAAGAACCTAGATTTTTCAAATTAGCCTAAACAGGTTCTTATATAAATGGTGCTTATCGCGAAATTAGGCTAAACAAAAATACAATACAATGCAATAAAACTTTATTTAGCTACGGTAAAACCTTCAGTATACACTATTTTACGAAAAGAAAAACATTAACTGATGTACAAGAGTCTGCGTTACTATATATCTCGCTAAAATTATCATAAAAGTCATTTGTAGCCTTCTTAAATTGGGAAAGTAGTGGAATCGTGCGTATATCTTGCGGTAAACTATTCCACAATCGTGCCCCACTATAACTCAGGCTTCTTTTTAGGAAATTAATGCGTGACTTGGGTAAGTTTAATTTGACTTCAGAATTCCTGAAATTATACGTTGTGCCACGAACAGAGAGGTCATTTTCATTACTTTGTGAAGAGTTTATTTTCTTTGATTTATAAATTTTTAATTTAACTCTTAAAGTTATAAAAATAAATTAAGAACCTGTTTGAAATGTTAGCCTAAACAGGTTCTTGTATAAAGGGGGTCTAAAGAAGCAATTTTCGCCTAAACAGGTTCTTAAAATCTAGGTTCTTATACACAAGTCCATGATATTCTCTAAAACCGTCTATGTTTTATTATATAGATTTAAATGAAACTGAAAGCGGAAGCCTTACGGAATACTGGAAATCAAAGATAATCACTGTAACGACAGTAAACGAAACTGACTGTGGATTAACAACGTTAACCCAAACCAACTGGAGTGTTTACAAGTTAGATCAAGATCCAAGAGCAATGCTCAGCAAAATTGACAGTGTTCCACGCACCGAGTATCAGTTTTCGATTCCGACTGATCTATCTTTACCAGAGTTAGTTCTCGATAGTAAAAGCCTGCAGTATGGTTTCTATGCAGTCACTGCACGACTAGGGATGCTAGGATATCCTGATATCTTCGATGAAGATACGAAATATTTCCATGTGGTTGCAACGCCATTCCTAGAGCCGGCCGTCACCACAGGTTTCATGTATACTGTTCTTTTCCGTCAAATGGTGAGTGTTTGGTTACCAATATTATATCATAAGCAATATTATTATTATAATTACCACAAAAATTTATCATTATCCTACTAAACCATCACCAACATCATCATTACCATCAATATCAACATCATCACCATCACATCATCATGATCACCATAATCATCATGATCACCATAATCATCATCACCACCATCATCATTAGCATCATTATCATCATAATCACCATCACAACCCTCATCATCATCAATGATTTGGATTCTTGCACTTCACTTGATGGAATTAATAGTAGAATGTTAGGGTTTGTAATCCAAGTGAGAATATATACAGTTTAAGACCTAATCAGGACCGACTGCGGAAAATGCAGCACAAGGTCTTAAAATGTATATATTCTCACTTGGATTACAAACCCTAACATTCTAATATTAATTACACCAGGTGAAGTGCAAGAATCCAAATTATTGAAGTCCGCCTTATCACAACCCGCACACCCGATTACCTATATATACATGAACTTACGGTTACAGCTCAACAGCTGGCCTCTGTAGCTCAGTTGGTTAGAGCGCTGCACCGAAATCGCAGGGCCGTAGGTTCAATTCCTTGAAGACCTTGTGTTGCATTTTTCGCAGTCGTTCCTGGTCAGGTCTTAAAGTGTATATATACACTCACTTGGATTACAAACCCAAACATTCTCATCATCATCACCATCACCATCATCACCACCATCACCACCATCACCACCATCATCATCACCATCACCACCACCACCACCACCACCACCACCACCACCACCACCACCATCATTACCATCATCATCATCATCATCTCTACCATCATCGCCATTAAGAGTAGATTGATGCAAAATTATTACCAGGCTTTAAGATCAGAAGATTAGAATTCAGTTACCAACATACTGCCAGCCCTTTTTTAAGCCGTGCCTTAGCGCTTTTGCGATCTTAAATTCCATGGCTATTTTGTTTAAATGCATAATGATTGTAAATAAATTGTTGAAAGCTGGGGGCTGATTACATGAAGAGTTTCAGCCGTCCTAACCAAAAAATCCTAACAAAATACAGCACACGATTACATGAAAAAAATTTCAGCCCAATTTGAAGCCGAGGATTGGATCAAAACGTGAGGACTTGAAATTTAGTGCAGTCCGAATTGGAGGATTTCAAATGACATCTCATGTACGAATAAATCACTACTTAATTAGTTTGGATCCAGTCCAAGAACTGAATTAATTTTAATCCAGTCCTAGGACTGCATCAATGTACTTCATCAGGTATCCAGTATTATCATGTGAGCAAAATAAAGCAGTATGGTTGGCTAATTTACTCATGAAATATTAATGCATTTGAGATATAATTAGAATTTATCGCCTCTCTATAATTTCCGGTAAAAACAAACTACTAACATAAAATGAATACACAATAATTCTTCTAATACCTGCTCATTTTTCCAGGCGACCCTCAATGCGTCAGCGACAGTTGATCCAGACTTTGGGCATGTCGATGGTGTCACATATGAATGGTTCTGTAGAGACATGGACGACACTGTGCAGTTTGGACCAGACTATGACTCGGAACCTCTGCTATATGTTCCCGTGGTGAACGACACGTTCCCTCCTGCAGAAATGAATGTGAGTGTCACTCATTAATTAATTCATTCATTGCCAGAATTTCTGACGTTATTTTTCCTGTCAAACATTTTGCGGAATTTCAGAACTGTGCAAATTTTCAGAACTGTGCAAACTTTTTTTTTATACACCCTATGGAAGCTAAAATTTTCATTTGCCTCACCACAGCTTGCTGTGAAGAAAATTGAGTATTGCATTCAGGAGCGAAACTAGCCCTTTTTAATTAAGGGGGTGTCTGCTAGAATTGCCCTGCGAAAGCCGATGATGCCCTGCAGCAAAATGTTTTTTCTCCATTATTTCTCCCAAAAATGTTTAGTGTAAAATTTGGGTCTATAAATTCTATTCAATTCCCTCTGGAAGCCCTGGAAGCTACTTAATAACTCTACAGTCTATCATTTAAAATCTTGCATTACCCTGTCAATCCAAGATGATTTGCCCAATCCAGATGATTTGTACTTTGGGGGACCACACACACCCCTCAAGTTTCGTCCCTGATTGCATTGCTTGAAACGTTATTTATCCAAGTCAGTAGAGTATAGTTTCCGGCAAACCTATATAGCCCTTTGATAATTCGCTTGCGTATTGATGCGGCAAACAAACGGCTCATTCAATCATTCACTGATGTTTCTTAAATTTCTTGGTTTGTCCAACGCTTAACGTTGCGAGATTCTGCTTTTCAGTCAACAGGCTGTTTTGGTGAAGGTAGAGGTCGACTAAACGTTACCGATGCAATATTGGAAATGGATTCAACATTTATGCTAGAGGGAAAAAAGTAAGTTTCTTTTTTATTATTTTTAAGTGATCGGTTTAATGGAAATTAAGCTATACATTAAACATATTACCTAATACTGAACATGTTAAATATTCAAGAGAATAGTAATTTGAACAGAACATTTTAATCTTTCCTTCCAAAAGAATTTTCATGCTCGTATGTCAGTTTCTCACTTCCTTTCCTATTCTTCGACTCGATCAGGTTGAGCTGCGACTTTCGTAATTTAGCTTAGCTCTCGATGGTTGTCCAATACAGCAGCATTTCACGACTCGTTACAACTTGTAATGAATGTTTCACGAGTCGTGAAGGACTTAAGAGTGCACCCAGCCAAGTGGTGAACTTCACGAAATTCGTACGACTCGTTAAATCCGTGAAATTTCACGACTCGTTACAACTTGTAATGAATGTTTCACGAGTGGTGAAAGACTTAAGAGTGCGCCCAGCCAAGTGGTGAACCTGACGAAATTCGTACGACTCGTTAAATCCGTGAAATTTCACGACTCGTTACAACTTGTGAGGAATATTTCACGAGTGGTGAAGGACTTAAGAGTGCAGGAGCCAAGTGGTGAACTTCACGAAATTCTTACGACTCGTTAAATCCGTGAAATATCACGACTCGTGACAACTTGTAAGGAATGTTTCACCAGTGGTGAAGGACTTAAGAGTGCAGGAGCCAAGTGGTGAACTTCACGAAATTCGTACGACTCGTTAAATCCGTGAAATATCACGACTCGTGACAACTTGTAATCAATGTTTCACGAGTCGTGAAGGACTTAAGAGTGCACCCAGCCAAGTGGTGAACTTCACGAAATTCGTACGACTCGTTAAATCCGTGAAATTTCACGACTCGTGACAACTTGTAATGAATGTTTCACGAGTGGTGAAGGACTTAAGTACACCCAGCCAAGTGGTGAACCTGACGAAATTCGTACGACTCGTTAAATCCGTGAAATTTCACGACTCGTTACAACTTGTAATGAACCACATCAGCACAACATCATATGAAGACTAGGCAGTGCAAACTTCATGTAAGCAAGTTCGTAAATTCAGAAGAGATGATACCCGGTACTATTTTTGCGTTTTTACGACTCGTGACGAAATTCGTGACGAGTTATATCGACTTGTACCTTGCGATGGATTTCACGACTCGTGACAACTTGTAACGAGTCGTGAAATGCGGGAGTATTGGACATGTATGGATGAGCTGTAAGCAGTGCTGTAAGTAACTTCGTTAAAAGTAACTAGTTACAAGTAATCGTCACATTCTTCAGTAACGGTAACGGTAACTTGTTACATTTTGAGAACATGTAACTGTAACGGTAACTAGTTACAAAAAATGCCATAAAATTGAAACGATTACAAATTATTTTGCCAAAGTTACAAGTTACATTTTG